GTCTGAGCACTGACAGGCCTGACCCCCCTCGACTCCTTCAATCTCCGCAGCAATGCTGGCAGCACTCATATGTCTATTTCCCAAAGCCAATCTCTGGATATGAAACTGAGCATGGGAACTCAACTTCTTTGGTCAACCATGGCGAGGCCTGTTCTGAGTGGAACCTGTCCTGTTAAACCGCTGTATATCTTGGCCACTGTGCTGCAGCTCAGTTTCAGGGTTTTGGCAATCTTCTTATAGCCTAGGCCATCTTTATGTAGAGCAACAATTCTTTTTTTCAGATCCTCAGATAGTTCATTATCATGAGGTGCCATGTGGCCATTTCTAGTGACCAGTCCGAGAGAGTGAGAGCGAGAACACCTGCTCCCCCTTCACACCTGAGACTTGTGACACTAACGGGTCTTATGACACCAGGGAGGAAAAACAGCTAGTCGGGCCCAGTTTAGACATTGTCACTTAGGGGTGTACTCACTTCTGTTGCCAGTGGTTTAGACATTAATGGCTGTGTGTTGCGTTATTTTGAGGAGACAGCACATTTACACTGTTATACAAGCTGTATACTCACTGCTTTACATTGTAGCCAAGTGTCATTTCTTCAGTGTTGTCACATGAAAAGATATACTAAAATATTTATGAAATGTGAGGGGGTGTACTCACTTCTGTGATATACTGTACCTCTTCAAAGACAATCAATATTATATATCTCTTTGGAGATCTTTACTGTTGCCCTTCTTTGCTGTTACACACCCACCATCTCAGGTGTAAGCATAGAGTTGTCACTGGTACATGGAAAGTTCTAACGTTTACCTTTAAAATTGTGGTGATCAGTGGCAGCGCATGGAGATGTAGCCAGAAACATGGTAGCCTGGATCACTGGGATATAATAGGTTGACACATTTTGTAGTCAGATTTAGAAGTTCATATCAGAGAGTCTCACTAACTGGATTCAGCTGTTATCCAGTGTGCCATATAGTGATGATGAAAGGAGGAACAGGTGACCTCTGTATTGTCCAGCAATAATAGATCTCAGCATTTTCAAGCTACTCTTCGCTGTAATTGAATTCTGTTTGGCCCTCTCTCAGCTGAGCAGTGAGTACGGAAACAAAATACGTAGAGTTGATAGGTCTCAGGGTGTTGAGTCTCAGAGAGTTGCTGGGCTTGGCCATATTTGTTGTAGGGAAGGTTAATTTCTGAGTAACAGATACTGATAGAAGAGAAAGATGTTTTTAAGGTGTTGTTAAAGCCTGGATGTCTTTTTCTGCAAGTTCTCAGATACTGCCATGATTCACTGGCTTACTGCAGAAGTGTTTGTATGGGTGAGGGGCTTGCTTTTCACCAAATGCATGGCCTTCCTATCTCAGTGACATAACAAGAACCCATTGCCTGGTCTCATGTTTTGACCTGGAATCTCATAGAATGAGATCATTGCTCACCTGGCAATTCTACAGCAGAGTCTTGACCCTTTTTTTCATCTGCCGTAAAGCACACCCATATATATTAAGGTAGATAATGTCTACTTGCATTTCTTTAGAATTTAAATAGCAAATGAAAATGTAACAAATCTTGAACATTCAGTTCGACAAAGGAAGAATCGTGTCAAAGCTGACATTTGGTTTGGTGGCAGCTATATAAAACATTGGTGTCTTAATATGATGCCACTTTGTGCAGTAACTCCCATTGCTCTTTCCTTTGTGCTTCTGGTAAATTAGCTGATGTTCAAGACAAGTTAATGATATGTTTTAACATTTAGCTATGACAATTCTTTTCTGTAAAACAAGAAATGTAGTTTTTCCACGGTGTACCAAACATGTCTCTTTTCATCTCTGCCAGAAATATGGAAGTAACACTGTAAATTATGTGTACTGAGATGATTTCATACACTTGTTTCCCTGTTGTGAAACAATTTGCAGATAGCTATAACTGCTACATTTCCATTTCCCGCAGCTTGCTGGGAAGATTTTGCATGGCAGAAGAAGTTGCTCAGATCTGCTTTGACTTCTATGTAGTAGTTTGATACAGGTCCACTAGATGTAAATGTGGCTCCTGTGAGAATAGATATTATTCCGTGTGATGATGTAGACAGAACATTGCAGTGGTAAAAGACACCATATGTGTGCTGGGCTCTTGCCCTTCCTGTCTTAAAAAAGCAGCTAAGTGGGGGATTGGCTGACTTTACACGGGAATGATAGGAGGCACCTATCAGCAAAGCAGGGCAGCATCATTCCCAAAGGAGACAGTTGGTGAGACTACAGTTTTAAAAGCCCTCCTTGAATCCCACTGTATTGAATAATTGTCATCCAGTCTCAACATCCTATTGATGGACAAGGTATTTGAGTGTGTGGTGGCTTCTCAACTCCATGGGTTGCTGGACGAAGTAGATTAATTTCAATTTGGCTTCAGGCCTGGTTGTGAGATGCAGACAGTTTTGGTCGACTTGGTGGATGATCTGTGCCGGGAACTATATTTATTGGTTTCCACTGCTGAGTGAATTTCAGTAACATTGATGCTTCTGGACCATCTCTCTATAATGTGTCTTGGAGGTGCTGTTTTACACTGGTTCCAGTCTTTCCTGAAGGGCCATGCTTAGAAGGCAGCATTAGTTTAATACTGTTTGGTACCCTGGCTCTTGGCTTATGGGGTCCCGCAGGATTCAGTCTTGTTCCCAATGTTATTTAACATTTACATGAATCTGCAGGGCCCGCCCATCTGGTCTATAAGACCACTCTAGGCGGCTAGAGTGGTCTCATTTCTATCTATTCCAAGAAAGCTATTTTTGCCATAAACCAGTGTCTATTGCCAGTGGTGGACTAGATGAGGACAGAGAAGCTGAAACTTAATTAGGCAAGACAGAGTTGCTTTTGGTCAGTCAAAAAGCAAATGAGAGAATAAGGATTCAGCCTGTATTCGATGGGCTTACAGGCCCCTGAAGAGTCAGATCCACAGCTTGAGTGTCCTCCTAGATCCAGCTCTGAGCCTGGATACAGGTTTCAGTCAGGAGTGCATTTACACAGTTAAGTCTACTGTCCCTACTTTACCTGTTCCTTGAGAGGTCTGGTTTGCTACTGTGACCCAAGCCTCAGCTGCCTGTTGCAACATGCTTAGTTGCCTTTGGAGAGTGTTCAGAAACTTGAGTGGGTTCAAAATGTTGAAGCTAGACTGTAAAACCTGTCTCCCATTACAACCTTTCACTGGTTTTCAGTCCATTTCTGGGCTCAGTTTGAAGTGCTGGTTATGACCTGTAAAACCCTATATGGCATGGGTCCAGGTTACAACCCTGTAGGTTACTTGGTGTTCTCCTACATATGTATGGCATGAAGGCTAAGAGAGTAGTTCCTGTACATGCTTACCTGCCTCATTTTCATATTTTTGATCATTCTGTAGAAAACCATATTCTCATTCTCAATCTAGCTTTGTTACTGGACCTCAAGAAAAAAAAAATTATTGGACTGCAAGTCCTAGAGTATCCCAGCCAGTGTGTACATTGACCATATGCCTGGAGGATCCCGGAAATTATTCTAAATAATTATTTATTATAATTATAATTAAAAATACTAGACACAGTCAATCAAATTAGAAAAACATTGACTGGTATTTTATAACAGATACAAGTTTTAACCAAAACCCTAAGGATCTGTTAAATATCAGTGCAGTATGTATGCTGTTCCTAATATTCCCTGGTTTTTTAAAAAAAAGCTCTGGTGGTGTTATTTCTGAGATTTGCAACTGCTTATAATACTGTGTAAACTTTCTTGATATTGTTCCCAAGTCCTGATGACCACTGAAGTATATTTCATCCAGAAGCAAGATGTTTTGATTGCCTGGTGGTTATGATGATGACCATAATCACCATCATTATTCCTAAACTTTGCTCAGATTGCACATGAGAGATTGCTTGTCTGAAATAGCCCCAGAATCAGTGTATGCATGTAGATCCATTCATGCAGAATGTTTATGTCTCATTCATACTAGGGATGGGTGGGGGTGGAAATAAAAGAAACCCAGCAGTTAATTCTTGGCTTTTACCAAATTCCATGCTCATGCAAACCTCAGGAAAAGACTGAAGAACAAAACTAAAGCTGGTCCTAAAAATAAGATAATACTTTAAACAGAACACCGAAAAATTAAGTATAATTTTATGGTAGCATTTTGCACTGATT